AGGGGTGGGGCCGGGGGGGCCGGGGCCGGTCAGCGTGGCTTATTCCTGGTTACTGATTTTTTAGGGAGGATTGGAAAACGCTTGTTTTCAAAATCGAGCCAAAATCCAGAGCTGTGCGGCGCTCGTTACAACGTGCGTGTTCCAGTAGTCACAGGACAGCCAGGGTTCTCCCGTCTTCCACCGGCTGTGTCGCTGAACGCGAGCCGGTCTGCACATAAACACGTCATCCATCAGCGAGCTCCTGTGGCAGATAAGTCCAAGTACATCCTGGGCTCCGTGCAGAGAAGCGTGACCAGCACATTGCAGGGGGTTGTTACTCCCTCTTTGATCGGGTGCTGGTGTACCTGCAACTGTCGGTCCTGTCCAGGGTCCCCAATGAGGAAGAATGAGGAAGACCTGGACTGGGGTCCTGCAGACGGCAGCGAGGATGGTCAGGAGTCCAGAGAACATGGCCTTTGTTCAGCAGAAGTGGGCAAAGAGGAAGCAAAATCCAGTAATAACATGTAACAGCCTGTGGGGTGGCCGCAGAGATGACAGAGCCGTATTTTCCTTGCTGGCATCAGATGATATACCAAAGGGCAGGGAAACATCCTCATCAGGAGGGCCGTGCAGCCTGCAATAGGTGACCCAGACAGGCTGTGTGATCTCCATCCTTGGAGATTTCCAAGTCTTACCTAGACAAAGCCGTGGCTCACCTGGTCTGGTATTGTGACAGCCTTGCTTCAGTTGGGCTGTTGGACTCAAGACCTCCAGCCATGCCTTCATAGCAACATTTCCATTTTTCTGTGATAACTCATGTACCTGAAAGAGAATTAGATCTTTGTCTCAGTGAATACACGTGAACAAACTTGTACTGTAAAACTGGCAAGTACTTATGCAAAAGCATAAACCCCTCGAGAGGGGCCCTGCAGTCCCTGCCTGAGCTGTTGTCAGATCACCCATCTCCAGCTCAGCCGCAGCCTTGCCTCTGCCCATGGGGCCTGTTGATCCAGTCCTTGACCCATGGGCTGACTTCCCAGCTTGACCTCAGACCTGCCTCATCACCATGGATCTCAGTGGCCATCACTGGGCTATGTCTGATGCTGGTTACCCCCACCAGGCCTGACCCTGACCCATAGGTTGACTTCCCAGCTTGACCTCAGGCTTGCCTTGTCTCCATGAATTTGGCTGGTGATCTGGGCTCTCGGTTGGATCTGGCTGCAGTCCCTGGCTCTGCCCTGCTTGCCCCGCGCCAGGGCGGTGGGACAGGCATTGCCCATGCCCCGTTGGCTGTGGTGTCCCTCCTGGCGCCTGTCCCTTAGGGAGCAGCCGGCCCTCGCTGTTCCCTGACAAGCTCCTTGACCCAGTTCAGTACGCATGTGCTGGTAGCTGGGGAGGGCAGGGGAGGGCTGGAGTGCAGAGCCCTCGCGCAGAGTGGTTGAGGTTGAGACGGCTGTGGAGCTGCACCGTCGGTCACCACAGTGGGCTGACGGGTGCTGGGGCATGACTGAGCTCAGAGAGTTCCCAGGGAGGGGTTGGGAACAGCCGTGGCTGGCAGTATAGCTACAGATCGAACCGCTAGTGGTGACGCTGCCAGGCAGGGACCAACTATTACTGCTCTTCTGAGGGATACCTCCGAGGTCAGGGAGGACTATGCAAGACTAGATATTCATTTTTCAGCATAGACAAGGCAAAATAAGGAACTACTGCAAATCCTGCAGCCTGTGTCAAAACTATGAACAGTGAGATTTCCACTGAGTTTCTGTCCGGCCTGTCCTCATAGTCAAGAACCGTCCTGTTTAGTTGCAAAGGACATTGTGAACCCACCTTTACATCCCACGTACGTGTGAGAGGGATTCGTGTTTGTTATAGTTAACTTTGGCGGTAGGTATCTGGTAGGTCTTTTTTCTCTACCGTAGAATAACTAAGCTGACTGAGAGCTGGCATGGCAGAAGAGAAGGAACCGTCTCCAGAAAGGCCTCCTGTTACACAGCAAGAGTGAGCACCAACTCCAAGGATCCCCAGTGAGCTTGTCACAAGCGTCTTCTGCCTCCCAAGGGCCATGAACAGATGTGGCACTGGGTGTCACAGCTATGCCAGGGCTTGGAAATTTGGTGATGTTGAAGAACCATGCGTGTAGGGGAGGAACAGTGAGTCAGGGATAAGAGGAGACTTCTTTCTTTTCCTTGCCAAGAAATTGGGATTGAAATGGAAATTTTTGTAATGACTCAATGGTGTAGGATTAGTTTTGTATTTAAGAAAAGATTCAGTCTTTTTGTGTTGTTTGGAGAACAATAAGGCTATTGCTCAGAATAATAGTACTGCCTCATCATTCGCTGATCATTTATGACCAAAAGTGATAATTAGTGATTAATTGAAAGTGGGCCCTTTAGAAATGTTATATCTACCATATCCACCTACCAAACCTGAGTCCCTGTCAGATCGTTTCTCCCACTGATTTCAGTAACAGCCCCCTCAGCCCCCAACAGAATTAGGTCTTGCTGAACAGTTATGCGGAAGACATGTGAATGTGTCCACATTTGTGGACAGGATTAATGCTCATCTTCTTCTGTTATTTTTAACCGAGTCCTTCCATGAGCAGGTTATGAGAGATGAAATTACTGCAGAGAAAGTCACAGAGAAGTAAGAGCCGTTTTTGTAAATGGCTGCCATTGTTACAGCTCCACTGAGCAGGCTTTATGTTTCATAATAATTGTGTTATTCTGTACATTAAACAACTGCTGGCAGCTGCAGGCAGAACAGCAGGCCATGTTCACTACAACTAAATCCCTCCCAACATTTAAATTGATTCACATTCCCATCCCGAAGCCCATGAAAATTAAACCACTCTCTACAGGCGCCCTTAAGAGTACGACTTTCCTGTTCACAAGCACTCCGGGAAAGGACTACAAATGCTTAAAGGAAAGCTGGGGAACTACACTCCACATTTTGTTCTCCTCTTACCAAACTCAGCTTGACGCATGGATTAGCAAGAGCGACAGTCCAAATGTCCCTGCAATTTCTCAGTAGGTCCCCATGGAGCTGCACTCCCTCGCTGAGGCACCATGAGCTACACCATACTCCTGGTTTGGGTTTTTTAAGGAGGCAGGACCCCACTGGAGAGGCACTCAGCAACGTTTGTCTTTGTGGTGTAACCTCTGTCTCCAGATCTTCAGACCCTTCCCCTCACCTCGGAAGGAGCAGTGCTCTAGTAATGAACCTAGTAATGTGCTCTAGTAATGAATCGCTTTCATGCTTTGTTTCCAGGTCCAGGAGAGGCTTTTGAATGTGTTTTCTTAGGGAGGGGAGGTGTCTCGGGCTAGAAAATGGAAATGTCAGGGATTAAAAAGTAACAGTGGTGTTAATAAGAATAAGAGAGAAGAATGTAAGAGACAGTGTGTCTTTCTTAGAGTAATTTATATGATAGGAAAATAAAAGCAGAGAAGCTTTGCAGGCACGCCAGCTCTTCTTTGTGTGGGAAACAAAATTATGAATTACTGTCCATTTTTTCCAACTATATTAGCCGAAAAGAAAATTCAGCTGTGATGAACTCTATGACTCTTTTCATTTGTCCGGTCACAAGCTATTGCGCAAACCTACACAGCCCCCCTGGTTTCTGAGCTGCGGCTGGGCTGCCGTTTGCCACATCACAGGTGCTGGGCTGCAGGTCCGGAGGGGAGACTGTGGCTTCTGGAGAGCAGCTGGGAGAAACTGGTGGAGACTGGGAGAGAGGCAGGGAAACAGCCGGACAGGCACATCCAGGGCCCTGCGTTGGGTGGGACAGGACTTCTGCGGAGGGGAAGGGGCTGCTGGGCTGGCAGAAAGCAGCTTCTCCTGGGCGCTTGGGAGGGATGGCGTGGGGGGTTTGGCAACCCTGTAAGCGAGCAAAGTTCAGTGACACAAGAGCAAGAGAGGGCAAAAGGCCTGTCTGTCTCTTGTGAGGATAGGGTGGGAAGTAGGGGATTGGTTTACCCACCGTGGCATCTGAATCTGTCTCGTTCCTTGCTGCTCTAATTCAAAAGCAATCAGGCTGTAGTGTGTTTTAGAAATACAAAGGATTTTTAGTGTTTGGTGTGCTTACTGCAAAGAAAAGGCTGCTCACTTTAAAGCTTTACCAACTATCACGAGCACAGAGATTTTCTCTGTCTGAAGAGAGTCTCCAGCAATACTGCTTTCTCCCGTAAGAGGGAGGCCAAGAGCATTTAGTACCCTTGAGTATAATTCGAGCTACTTGAAAATTAGTTCCTCAATATTAGGTAAAACATTTTCCCTCCTTATGCCTCTCTGGAGTCTGCTACTTAGCCCATAGAAGCCCAAGCTTATCTTTAGTTCGGCAACTCTGCCTGTAAAGGACGGAGGCTTTCAAATGAGAGCGCTGCAGGGATGGACCCAGCAGCCAAGCTGTGATGTCGGGAGAGCCAGGCTGTTTCCCAAGAGCCCGTACCAGAGATGTTATCGAAACATTGCCATAGTCACCCGCCCCAGTGGCCCACTCCATAATAGCGCACATCCTTGTGGGCACCGATGATGCTGCCGTGGGTGACCGTAGGTTGGTTTTGATCAGATCAAAACTGGTTAAGAGGCTCCGGGCTCACAGGCGAAGGGCTCGGGGGCTTCGGTGTGTTCCTGGCCCCAGGACCCTGACTGCAATTCAAATAGGGACATCTGGAGATAAATGCATGGTTACACAGTTGATACTGCCAAAAGGGCTTTGGTTTTAGTTGCCTTAACTGCTGGGTCAAGCGCCACAAGCAGGGAAGGATGGAGCCCACCTTACTGAGAAGGGGAGCAGCCCCACATCCACCGACTCACTAACTTCAGGGGATACATGTCTAAAGTGTTCAATAGATTGACCTACTTGTCCTTATTATAATCCTATATTAGCAACCTTCTTCCTACCTCATTAGTTTTATAGAACTCACCCAAATCGGTCTTGTTTATGCTTTGTCAGCTGCTTTCTTTAATCCTAATTTAAAGTCCTTCTCAATTCCCAGAAAAGTTCTGGAACAACTCATTAAACAAGGCACTTGCATGCACCTAGAATGTAACAAGGGGATAGACAACAGCCACCACGAACTCATCAGGAACAAATAGTGACAAACCAGTCTGATGTCCTGGTATGGCACAATTTTTTAGGCATAAAGTGAAAAGTAGCAGCTGTCATATATGTTGTCTTTAGGAAGCTTTTTAACACTAGCTGTCCTGACCCTGTCTTAGGAAGATATGACCACATGGTGAGCGCAAAACTGGTGAGATAATTGTACCTCAAGTGCTAATTATCAGTGGTTGTCAAAATGGAAGGACATATTGAAGGGATTTTTGCAGGGGTCCATTCTGATGCCAGGTCTTTTTAATTACTTCAGTTAACAGCCTGGAGGATAAACACCCATAAGTGCCTTATTAAACCTGCAAATTACTCCAGGCTGTGAAGGACAGCAAAGACAACAGAATTCAGCACTAGTCTGACAAATGGGCTGAAACCTATAGGGCAAAATTCAACAGGTACAACTTCGAGCATTACCTTTATGAACAGCGAGCAACACAAATACAAATGAGGGAACAATTGGGTGGATGCAGTTTTTTAAGAGTCCAAGGTATAATGGAGAGCAAACTGAACACCAGCAATGGAAAAGGCAGACACCACCCTGGAGCATATGAGCCAGGAGCATAGTCTCCAAGACAAGCTGGAGTAATATGCCTAGCTAGGGACACTGTGCTTCAAAAAATGCAGGTCAACAGAAAAAAAGTCAAAGGAGGTCAGTGAGGATGCTGGGAGGCACAGAAAACATGAAGAAAGAATCGAGTTGATGTAGTCTATAGAAGAGAAAGCCAGAGCGAGGAGGGGAAGGGAAGCATTACAGTCATCAAGTGCCTAAGAGATCATTTCAAAGGCGGCCATGGCCATAGCAAAGAGGACAGGATATAAAGGATTTCAGCTCAGACAAAAAAGCTTAAGTTAGGCTTTCAGATAATGTCAGGATAGAAGTGTGCCAGAACAGATTGCTGGGGGATGGCGCAATCTCCACCACTGGAGGTCTTTAAGAACAGGTTTCACAAACATCTGTCAGGACAGGTATTGCTGAT